GTGCAAAGTGGATCCCTAGAAACTGCATCCTGAGTAGATATTTCTTTTTTCTTTCTTTCTTCAAGAAAACATAAGAGAAAAAAGTTTTTATAAACAATAATTAAGAAGCCAAAATAGAAACAGCATACAGCATGTGGAGAGCAAACATTCTTCCTTGGCTATTCCTGTCCACAGCTTTCTTTCTTCTCTGAACTAGGCTAGCATGGACTTTGAGATCCGAACATCACAGACTGTAGGTTCTCTAATTGTGGGAAGTGGGTGGGTCTCCTATTTCAAACCAATATATGTCTGAAGGAAAGGTGTAGGTTTTGGGAAGTGGCCTGAAGTCTGGTTCTTATCTACTCTCTCGGGCCTGCAGCAGGCAGTTTTGTTTTGACCCCAGCTTTTGATAACCTTCAACTGGAAGTTGAACTGTTCTGAGCCCCAGAAACTGAAGTGCAACTCTGGATACTACTCTGGACTTAAAACCTGGGCCTAAATCTCAGGGAAGGATTCAGAATCTTAAGGAATACTAAGGGAAACTGGAAAATCTTCCTTCCTTTTTCGGTTGTGTTCAAACCCCGGCTACACGGACCTTTGTACTTGGCTTCTAGCCTCATAAGTTTATTTTTCTCCTAGCAGCTATTAGGAGACTGTGAGCCAGATAATTCTGGTCAGGGCCCAGTTGAGATCTTAAAAATCATTTTTGAAGTTGGTTTGAGAGAACTGACAAATGATTAGACCAAACCTAGTTCAAGAAAACCAATTAGTTTATTTTCTACTTGGCTTTCAACCCGATGACAGTATGACATGCTGGTTTTCAATATGAACACTTCAATGTTCTCTCTCCTCTCTACACAGCTTCCAAAATCAAACCAGACATAAAGTTATTTTTACCTTGAGCTTTTCATGCCTTAATGCTTATGCGGGCTTATGCCTGGGAAGCCTGGGTTTGGAGGAAGCAAGTCATTTTGCCTTTTTGTAAGACTGATATTGTGCTAGGTCAGTGATAGAGCATTTGCCTAGTAGATGCATAGTTCTGCACTGGATCCCCAGCATCCAGAACGTACACATACACCACCACCAACAGACATAACAAACCTAGGCACTTTAAGGCCTGTCTGTGAGTGATGCTGCATTCTCCTGACTTTCATGTATGCCCTCAACCATTGGTCTGAGGATCAACCATGTGTATTCTTCTTCTTTTTTTCCTCTTCTTTTTAAAAAACAGACAAGTACAAAAGCCAGGCATGGTAACCCATGCCTTTAATCCCAACACTCAGGAGGCACAGGCAGGTGGATGTCTGTGAGTTCAAGGCCAGCCTGGCCTATATATTGTGAGTTCCAGGTGAGCTGGGGCTACAGGCAGACCCTGTCTTTAAACAAGTACTTAATTTTAATTTAAAAACTATAATTAGCACATCAAACCCCATGAGTTTATAGACATTAATGACTGTGAGGAGTCTAAAGAAGATACATAAATTACCTTTTAATTTTTTTTTTTTTTACAGTGAAGAGACTTGAATCTAGGAACTTGAGCATAAAATGCTCTGTCACTGAGCTATATCCCCAGCTTGTGGTTTTCAGAGAAGGGTCTTGCTACATAGCCTAGGATGACACACTGGAGTCTTCTACTCCCTTCAGGATGCAGAGATTATAGGCACATTCCACTATGCCTGGCTAATTTAAGTTATTCATAGTTATTTTTGTACATAAAATAAGGTAAGCTAACATAAATAAATACATTAAGCCATTTTTTACATATTTTTCTTAGGGACAGATGGAAAGAAAAACCCAAGACTGTTCATTTATACAGAGTTTACAAAACACAAGTTTTATTTAATAGCACAAGTGCTTAGTTAAAACCAATTGTAGGATCAGTCTGCTAACACTTAGAGGGCTGGAATTATACTTTTCTATTTTCTGCAACCCAACTAACCACCTTGCATACATTCAGTTCTTAATATGTATTGAAGTTAATTAAGAGTGGAGTAGGGGGACTGGAGAGATGGCTCAGTGGGTAAGAGCACTGGCTGCTCTTGCAGATGACCTGAGTTCAGTTCCTAGTAACCATACGGTGGCTCACAACCATCTGTAAACTCCAGTTCCAGGGATCCAATGCCCTCTAGCCCATGGGCATCACACACACATATATGGTACACATACACATGCAGGCAAAGTACTCACTCATACATATAAACTAAAAATACGATTAAAAATATTTTACTATTAGTTTACATGTATGAGTGTATCGCCTGCTTGTACGTAAGCACACCCATGTTGTACGTAAGCACACCCATGTTGTGCAATGCCTGTGAAGGTCAGAGGAGTGTGTTGGATCTCCTGGAACTGGAGTTACAGATGGTTGCTGGCCACCATATGGGTACTGGGAACTGAACCCAAGTCCACTGAAAGAGCAGCTGGTGCTCTTAACTGCTGAGCCATCTCTCCAGACTCCCCCTGCCCCCCACAATAAAATCTTTTAAAAAAGAGAACTGAGTCATATAGCAATGTTTTTCTTTTATGCTAGATACTTCTAGGTTAAAAAACTTAGCAGCTGCCTGGCGTGGTGGCACTTGCCTTTAATTCCAGCACTCGGGAGGCAGAGGCAGGTGGAACTCTGTGAGTTCAAGGCCGGCCTGGTCTACATAGTGAGTTCCAGGACAGCTGGGGCTACAGGGAGACCTGCCTCAAAAAAGACAGAAAACAAAACAAAACAAAACAAAACAATTTAGCAGCCAAATGCAGTCTTTCTACATCATCTTCTAGGCTTAGCCTAGAAGCACATTTACAGGCACTCAATTATTTGTTGAATGAAAAAAAACATATTGGTGATCTTACTAGAAATTCAGTAACATTAATAACCATTTCTCACATTAAAATCCTGCTGTATTTTTGTTACATGTATGAATATTTGCCTGCATGTTTGTAAATGCACCATGTACACGCAATATCTGTGGAAACCACAAGATGGCATTGGATCCTCTGGAACTGGAGTTACGGGTGGTTGTTAGCTGCCATGTGAGTGCTGGGAACTGAACCTGGGTCTTTTGCAATGGAACCCAGGTCTTCTGCAAGAGCAGCAAGTGTTTTAACTGCTGAACCCTAGATAAGGAACTATTGGCAATTGATAGCTTCTGGGAGAGAGAGAGTCAGTTTTCTTTAAGGGTGTGACACTGGGTACACTGCCCATGCTCCAGGGGAGAGACTCACACCCAAGAATATCTGGGGAACACAAACTGGACTCAAATGGCTTTTGTGTTTTGTTCTAGCTTTTTGTTTTTTTGAGACAGGTTTTCCCTATAGCCCTAGCTGTCCTGGTACTCACTATGTAGACCAGGCTGGCCTTGATCTCACAGAGATCTGCCTGCCTCTGTCTCCTGAATGCTGGAACTAAAGGTGTGTACCATCATGTCCAGCCCTCAAACAGCTCAAAAAAGAGGACACAAAGTTGGGAGGTAGGAAGGTGGGGTGGATATGAGAGGAGATGGAGAGGGAGTTGGAGATAATAAAAACACATTGTATAAAAATCTCAATTGATAAAAATATTATTTAAAAAATCCTGCTTTACTCTGAAATCTGCTATAGTGTTTATTATCTCATTTGATCCTCACAAAATTCTAGAAGAAAAGAGACAGTGCTAATGTAGAGTTGAATATGGATGGGCAAAAAGCAACAGAATTTTAAATTATTTTCATGGCTAAATCATCATTCAAGGGCAATGCTCTCTCCATGTCAGTATCTTTGGTTATTCTCAAACTCTTAGGCAATTTTTAGGCCATGGTCACAATGGGGAGAGAGTTAGGGAAAGGGTTTTGAGGTAGCAGCAGCAGTAGTAGTAGTAGTAGTAGTAGTAGTAGTGAGCCTTTTTTGAGTTTTTACAGACAACTAGAAACTGTAATTCTCAAAGGATTCTTAGGCTTTGCAGAGTTCATTTATATTTGCCCCAAATCTCACAGCATGAAGGAGACTTCACAGTATGGAGACCTCAGCCAGGTCTGACTCTAGGGACTATCTTTAATGACACACAGCTGAGTTCATAGCAAGGCTAAGGCTCACATATGAGACACCTGAGATCAGAAAGGGACCTGATTTGCTTAGATTCCTCACTAAGTCTTAAGCACAGACCTGGAGTAAAAGCCAACTTCTCAGTGCTCTTTCTGAAAAGCCCTTCAGGGAACTGCCATTTTACAGAAAGAATAAGGTAAAATCCTTGTTAAGGTCTTACTACTGCTT